CAGCAACCTTAGGTTTTCCTAGGAGGTCTCCCATCCAGGTACTGACCAGGCTCACACCTGCTGAGCTTCAGAGGGCTGCCAGTTGTGAGTTGCAGGGTGAAATGGCTGCTGCTGCAATATCCAATTGATTCAGAACATCAGGCTCCAGACATACTGGACACAGGTCAACTAGCAACATAATCACTGACGCTGCCAGGTCGTGTTTTTATTAAGATTTCCATTTAAGGTTTCTTTTTTTCACTTAATAACACTGCCTTCTGTGATCTGCTCCTACAACTTTTGGCCAGCTATTGGACAGCTTTGAGCTGTTACCAACTGATGGGAGCGCTTGTGCAAATTTCAGCGACAGATTACTGTTCAACAAATCATAAAAGACAATTTCTTAACTACGACGATGGGGAGTAACTATTTTAAAGACACGCTTTAGTTACTGCATTCTGTGCCTGGAGAGATCACGACTTTCTGCTAACGTTTAGCTGGCACTGACGTTACTACTCGCAGTAACTTCAAAATCATCCCCTTTCGTCTCCAGGTGTCCACTGCTGTCCACCTCAGGAATTATTCATCCTCGGATCTGCAGTATGACAACCGAGCCAGCAGCAGCTTTTGACATGATCTCCTTTATTCAGTCAAGTCGTAAGGTTAGTAACTGGGCTCTGATGACCCGGACACGCTCACCTCTTCGCCTCTAAATTAAAACACATGGACATGGAAACTGAACTTTGATAGGTCGAAAACGAAGCTAATTACCGATAGGCCGGTATGAAAACAAGTCGTATAACGCGTGAAGGAAAACTGTCAGTAACCTTAGTATTTTGCATTTATGTTTCTCTGTTTCAATGCAAAATAAGAATTTTACGGACTGTGCACCGGGTTTCGTCCTCTGTTAATTCACACGTCATCCCAACTCTCACTCTCTTTGCTAGAAGTCAGTGATGCTGTCAGGCAGCCCAGATCATCTGATCTGAGAAAGCTCTGGGCGACCAGAAGAATAAACCGACGCCGTAGTCCAGTTGTTATCAGTTTGTTGCGATTAAGAGCCAACACGCAAGGCTCCCTATATCACGAAGTGTCCGGCTGATCTGGGGGCCAGCTGTCAGCCCCCGACTCAGACAGTTTCTTGGGAAGAAACCGCAGCTCGTCTAGTCCAAAACAGCTGTCATCCCTGACGCACACACCCTCCCATTAACAGCTTTATCATTATTATAATTATTATTATTATTTCTGGTAACCCGCGAAAGGACAGGCGGCTCACGTGTCGAGTCGGGGTGTTCTCGGCTCCGCTCGAGCTGTCATCCGCGGCCCTCCTGGAGCGCGCGGAACGTCTCCGCGCGGACTTCAGGGACAGAAACTCGGCGCTCGAGTCCAGCGCCGGCAGCTTCTTCGGGGACGCGGGGTCCGCGCCCGCACTGCTGCGCAACATCACCATTATAGCTCCCCGTTCTCCTGCTCAGACCGTCAACGGACGTGTTGGAAAAGTGAAGAGGTTTCAGAGTAGGAACAATCCGCTCATGTCCCTTTTCCGGTAGTGGCCGGACAGTTGCCGCTAGCAGACAACCTCTCACTTTTTCTGTTTTTCCAGCCCTTGATTTCTGGCGCCACAAACGTCACAGAAAGTCAGATCACTACCTGTATGTTGCTCCGAAGCAAGAAATAGGCCACGTAGGTACACCCTCTTCACTTTGGAAAGTAACGTCCTGTTTCTGACCACACTATGCTGAAATGGCGGTGATGATAATGAATTTCTATATGGCACCCCTGCGTCCTGTCGTTCTTGTTTTCTAAACACCTTAAGAATTTTATTCCATCCTGCGTAGTGATCTATTTTGAAAGGGTGCCCCGGTAACTTTTTGGCGCGTAGTAAACAACGCCACACGAGGGGCTTTCATTGGCTAATAACAAAGGCCCCGCCCCCAAGCCGAGGTCATAACAAGCACGTGAGGCTCAGGGAAAACGCGGGAGCTGTCAATTCAAAACAGCCTTCTGT